AATTTAACTCGTCGAGTACCGGTTTTGTAGACACAATTATAGAACAATAGGTTGCGGTCACCGGTGACCGCTTGGTGTTTGACAGTTTAATCTCCGGAACTCCTGATTCGAAGTTGAAAATTATTTTTGTGTTGGATAGCCCTGTTATGGAGGAGGGATGTTGCCTAGCCTGTAGGCTATCAAGTTTAGAATATGGCAAATAAAAGTATGTTAAAATTTTATTGAGGATCCAAATTCCGATCAAAAAGAAGACGCGTCTACTTTTGCGTAGGTGTTTTTACTAATTGTTTTTTATATGTATTATACCTTTGAAATGGGTTTACAAATTTTCATGTACTCAGTACTTCGTGCTTTAGGGTGGACCTGGAAATCTAGTAACTAAAGAAAATACGTAAAAGTACCAATAGGTACATTCAGTACGTACATGGTGCTACATTAGTTACTCCCAGGTTTCCGCAACGTTATTCGGCGTTAGTCATTTCGTGTCGCGGTGCGTGGAAGTTAGCCAACGCGACATCAAAGCTTTTGCCACATCATAAATTAGGTCTACCTGTGTAGGTACTCGGTGCTTTATTGTTTATTTTTCAAAATTACCAAGATTATCTACTGAGCTAAAAAAGTAGATACATAATTTATTTGGTGTGTGTAACTGTCGAATGTGTTATTATTACAAAACAGGTACCAACCATCCTACAGATACTATAGCTAATTCCAATTCAGATATTATCTTACACTGTTGCTAGGAAAATACTTCACAAGATTTATAAACGTATCCCGTTTAACTCGGTTCGTTAGAGCGCGTTAGGACTGCCAACACGGAAGGCCTGCATGTTACATCTACAACGACGCACTTCATAAGCTCCCTTAAAATATTGATATTTCGAATATCAAAGGTATTAATTTAGACGGGCGGGCGCTTGGCTCTGCTCTCGCCGCCGCCGCTGCAGGAGCATACCGCGATGGACCATTGCAAGCGGTGCGTCTCTTCCGTGTCGGTAAATAGACGTGCGCGTCGTTTCTTAATTGCGAGCTGGGGCCGATGCTTTATAAGCTCCATAACGTCCGTCGACGTGCGTCTCGGCTGCGAAATGTTTGCTTTAATTATTATTGGAATGGAGGGTAATTCTCTGTGGTTTTGTTCGGCTAGACTTGGCGATGTTCCGAAACGGGTAGCGATGCAAATTGCCTTGGCTAACGCCCAACGCGGCGCTATCAGGCTCAGTAGCTTCACCAAATCACACCTTCCTCCTGACTCTTGACCTGAACGTTGTACCTGCATAGGTCATGCACTATATGTATACTTACAAATGTTTGTTTCTTTGAATTAACTCGTCGAGTACCGGTTTTGTAGACACAATTGTAGAACAATAGGTTGCGGTCACCGGTGACCGCTTGGTGTTTGACAGTTTAATGTCATACTAATAAATACAATTGATAAAGATAAAATGATAAATTCGTTACTGTTCAAAAGGTTTATTTAATTTAAAAATATGTCTGATTTGATTATTGTATTTAGCAGGAAAGTAGTAGGTAGTGTTCCCGGTAATGATAGGCAATTATGTGACCAGTCCACATACATAGGTATCTACATGTGTACATTGGTACCTGCTCAACAATCAAATTGACAAGTCTTCGTTCAATATTTCCTTTTAAATGTCGTCCTTTGAATGCATAATAAGAGAAACTCCTTGCGCTGAATACAAAGAATGAAATGGGTAGTCACAAAAAATACGCCCAAAGTTCATTCAACTGTTTTTGTAATCTGTGTAGTAATAATAATCGAATGTAGTACATTTACACTATCTTTAAAATAATTTGTCCAATATTTAGTACTAAACAATGCATAAATAATCCATGTAACAAGTGTATTTGAAGTTGAACATTATTATAATCTGGAGAATTCATTGTAATCTAAAATATGTGACTAAGATTGCAAACCGGGACCTCCACAGAAAAAAATAAGTTGTAGGCAACATGTAAATACAAACTGTTCTTTATCCATTCTCATCGAAGGAATGAAAACAAACCATTGAATTTATCAACTACTTGTTATCCTACACAAGTCGTAAACGTCAACTGTGGCCAACATAATTATTACAATTCTCCTTGTCAATGTGTGAAGTTGCAGTTGTAGTAATTTGCCACAATTTATACGTTATCCTGGTTTCTCGAATTGTGATCAAAATAATAAACTTAAAACACTTTAAATGTTTCATATTGTTAAGGTATAAATTGATTTCATGTCAGACACATCAATACAAATGTTATTTACGTACCTAATTTTATGTCTAAAAGCACGTTAATACTCATTATTACAGGCTTAATGTTCACAAATAGTGTTTATGTTATTTGTGTACATAAGACTAGGTATATTTATGTACCTTCCATCATGTAGTATACCCGTGCAACGTCGATATTATCATCATAAGTATAAATGTGTATGCATAGACATGGCGAAAGGAATAACCTTTTAGACGTCTTTGGCAAGGCCGCTGTTGTCTGCGTAAACAAGCCTAGCGGGTTCGGCGCTCGATAATTAAATTATTTGGGACTTGCATATATCGAAATAAGTGTTCGATAAATCTGTTCCTCAGTTTACAAAGTTTTGATGTTACGCATTATTTTCCTTAATTACATTATATTAATTACGACAAACGTTCAAAGTTCTCACCGTGCTCGGTGTTATCAACGCAGTACTTGCTTCGTCTTACTTTGTTTATTAACTCGTCGAGTACCGGTTTTGTAGACACAATTATAGAACAATAGGTTGCGGTCACCGGTGACCGCTTGGTGTTGTTCTATAATTTTGTTTATTAACTCGTCGAGTACCGGTTTTGTAGACACAATTATAGAACAATAGGTTGCGGTCACCGGTGACCGCTTGGTGTTTGACAGTTTAATGCTAAACGTCTTCATGTCCCTAATCATTAATTAATAGGTAATATCTATATATTATTATGTGTTGTACGGTATATGATGTACGAAACGTTTACCTGACATACAGTGCCGTAAAATTAACGAACTAAGTAATTAGATAAAGCTTCACGATTGTTTCCGAGAAAAGCATGGTGGAATAGTCACATGCGCAACAAGTGGACTTATCGCACTGGTATATTCACAGCGATAACATTAAAATACAGCTCACTATCGCCTTCTAAGAAGTCGCCCGTCGCGTTGCGACGACGCGTCGCGGTCGTTTGCGGAGCTGCGCTCGCGCACCACAAATCCACTGCTACGGCGAGACAGGTAGTTCTAACGGCACTCGCCTGAGAATACAATTTTCGTTTCACAACAGAGTATATCAAATCGTTAATACTTTCTCTGGTCATTACAACTAGGTTTCATACTAATCATGTTCATAATTAAAGAACTTAGCGTCTGCCATATCGTATGTAATAAAATCTATGTAGGTACAAAATTATCATCAATCTTACCATATTTCTTATATAAATACCCATGACAAAGGGCATAGGCATTTGAAGGTAGAAAATATGCATGGGTACCTACTTACTCAAAATTAAAAATTTGCAGGTTTGTCCTTAATTAAGTGTACCTAATTGTGTTAAAATAATAGTCGTTGCTGATAACAAAATAACAACTCATTAGCATGCATGCATGATGTCATCATTTGATAT